CGCAAGGAGCTGAGGTGTGCAGGGCGTGGTGCTAGGGGGACACGGGGCTGGAGGGCTGAGCAAGGAGCTGAGGGGTGCAGGGCATGGGGCTAGGGGGACACGGGGCTGGAGGGCTGAGCAAGGAAACTGGAGGGGCAAGGGGCTATGGGGCTGGAGGGACATGGGGCTGTGGGCTGAGCCTGGAGCTGGGGACTGCAGGGCATGGGGCTGTGGGGCTGAACTGAGGGAGGTGTAGGGCTGGGGGGCCCAGGGGGCCGTGGGGAGTGTGCAGGGCTGGCGAGTGTGAGGACATGGGGACATGAGGCCACGCATGGAGCTGTGTGTGTGGAGGGGGGAGGATAGGGCTATGGGGCATAGCACAGAGCCATGGGGTGGTTTGAAACATGTGATGGACCCAGAGAAATGGAGCTGAGAGTGGGGACTTTGGAAAGGGTGCTGGGATTTGGGGGCTGCACCAGGTGCAGCTGCTTGAGGTCTGGCTGAACAGGGACCCAGGGGGGCCCGGGCGGCTGTGGGGACCCGTGAGGGGCGGCGAGGCTCTGGAAGGGGGGTCTGCGCTGCTGTGGGGCGCAGCTCAGCTGACCTCTGTCCCCCACAGAAGAAGAGCCGGGAGGAGTCGAGCGGAGAAGGCAGCGGCGTTGAGATCCTGGCCAACCGGCCCTACAGCGATGGCCCGGGGGGCAGCGGGCAGTACACGCACAAGATCTACCACGTGGGCTCCCACATCCCCAGCTGGTTCCGGGCGCTGCTGCCCAAGGCCGCGCTGCAGGTGGAGGAGGAGTCCTGGAATGCCTACCCCTACACCCGCACCAGGTGGGCTCCCGGCGGGACGCGGCCTCGTCCCGATTCCCGACGTGGTCCCGGAGGGACCTCGGGGCAGGGGGGGACTTCAGGCTCAGTTCCCCCGTGTTCAACTCGCCCCCATGCCGGCGCCTCCCGTAGATACACCTGCCCCTTCGTGGAGAAGTTCTCCATCGAGATTGAGACTTACTACCGGCCCGACTGCGGCCAGCAGACGAACGTCTTCAACCTGAGCGCGGCCGAGAAGAGGCAGCGGATTCTGGGTACGTGCCGCCGGCCTCGGGGCAGAGAGGTTGGCGAGGAGGAAGCTGTGGGGCCGGGGATCCGCCACGAGCCTCGCTCGGGGCGCCGAGGACGAGCTAATCCGAGGCGGAGGAGTGGCGCGGAGCCCTGCCCGGCGGCGTTCCCACAGCCGGGCGGGACGGGATGTGTGGGGTTCAGCGGGCAGCTTCCCACGGAGCAGCCCCGCGGTGGCTCCTGCCTTCAACAGGTCGGGCTTCGGCTCTCGAGTTTGGGGCCGGCTTCCCGTGGCTGCCAGGGGCATGTGCGCCCTGAGCTCCTTGCTGAGAGCTCGATGGAGGAGACCGATTCTGCATTAAAAATGTTGTGGAGGGTGGTTTTGCTGCTTGCTTCCTTTGTCTTTGATTCCCAGCTTTGCCCGTGCCGGGTTCTAGCACTTTGGTGTTGGCAGGGGAGCTGCTCCCTCTTCTTTCCTTATTCTGTCCCTTCCTCCCTGGTGCAGTTTTGCCTTCCTGAGGCCCCTTCCAAGAAGAGCAGGTGTGTGTGGGAACCCCCCGAGGGCTCTTGGAGGCGATTTAGGGAGAGGCCAGAACTTATTGGAAAAGAGGGAGTTGGAAATGAGTCCCCTCCTTCCAAACAGGACCAGAAAAAGGATGAAAAGCTCCGGAGGAGAGATGGAACCACCTTTCCCTCCACCCTGCTCCTCACTCCCCTGCTTTCCCACAGCGCTTTCATCCAGGTTGCTCCAGTCCTTCCTGGAAGGACCCAAGGGGGATTCTGATGGGAGAGCCCGGGCGCTCGGGTGGGATTCAGCAGCCGCAGGGAAGTTTCGGCGCTTGCCAGCTCCCTTCCTGGGTGCAGCAAGCTCGCTGGTTTAGGCGCCGGAGTGCAGCGCAATGCGCCGCCTCTTAAAATGGAGGCCTTAAAATAGGCACTCGAAGGAAATGATTCATCTGACCTATTTCTTTCATTGGCTTGGGAGGGATGTGGGGATGTCCGGCTTGCGCGTTGGTGTCTACAGTCGGAGAGGGGGGATGAATCCCGCAGGCATCGGGCTGTGACTGAGCACGAGCCAACCCCAACAGCGTGCATTCCCCGTGCCCCCGACCGCTTTGCTCTGGCTTCTCTTCTGGCCTCTTTTGCTGTGAGATTCTTGCAGGGCCTGGCTGCATCTCGGCTTCTGCCTCTG